GCAAATGAAATTTTCTCAACATTCTTACCACAGATCCAGTGAAAACTTGGAATTCTAAGTCTCACTGGATTCCCAAAAATTGGGCTGTTCCATCCCATTTTTAAAACTACAACACTCTGCCACGAGAAAAACTAGAATAGTCATGAAAGTAACTTGTAAGGACACACCTTCACTGGATACATTAAATTCGATGCTGCACAAAATGTTCCGGGTGGTTGACATTTCCTTAATCCTCAGATATCCAACTTCAATTCTACCAAAAAGATCTTGCGACTTTATGCGCGACTATCAGAGGTATTTGAAGTTGAAGCTTGGGTGTTTCACGTTGCTTTTACATTGTTAACATAGGGCTAATCTGAGGTTGCCAACTTCAAATGAACTTTTCTTGAAAAATGCGCAAAAAATCGTGAGTTATAACATTTTCTTGCTCCTCGAGTATTTTACTTTGATAGCGCCAAAGGATTTTCCTATGTCGGTGCTACTATCTTCATAATTTAAAGTTAAATGTCTTCTACCGATTTTTGTCCGCATCGTCCATATAAGGATGCCACACTGTGCAGTGTGCGGCGTGCTGTCAGCTCGAAACTCGCACTGACGCCTACAAACCTAAAAGGATACTTCAAGCATTGCGCAATGCGTGAAGTAGCTCTTTAGGTTTGAAGGCGTCAGTGCGCGTTTCGTGCTGGCAGCATGCCGCCGCGCGGCGAGCGGGTGACGAACGATTTCTTGTGGGGAGAACTCCCTGGCGGAGGAACTCATGTATCTTGTTTCTTTTTTTGTTTCTTTTTTTCTTTAAATTTTTGACTTTTGAATTATTCACTGGTCGTGTGAAGTTAGTGAACTCTCAACGCTAGATGAAGTATTATTATGAAGGCGCGGGTTGTGTGCCATGTGGCGGCTCATGAAATTCTCCCCTGCGCTCTGTCGAGAAAAGTGGGGGCGCCTTTAAGTTTTGAAAGGGCAACACGCACATTTGCGTAACACGAATAAGTAGTTGCATCAAGGCGCCGCGCCGCAATCAACTCAATCTATAGCTTTCGTTAGGCACATTCGTCGGTTAGCGCATGGGTTGCATTTATAATTAACGACTGGCCCCCTTGACGTTTTTTTTTTCCCCAGAATTTTCAGACTCTCGACCGGTCAGTCCGTGGAGTGGCTGCCGATTTCACAAACTGGTCAAAGCAACGGCCAGTTCGCGGACTGGTCAACGNGGGGGGGGGGGGGGGGGTAGCCAATCTGCGCACGGCGAGGCAAAATTGTTCTTTCATCCGCGAACTGGGAAATTTCTCCTAAAAGTTTAACACTGAAAAAGTGGCAATTTATAGGCATTTTTCTTAACAGGATTCGTAGAGCTATCACTACTTTTTGATTCAGCTAATATAAGTTTGTAGGTCCGGATTTTCGCTCAGAAGTGACAACGATGCCGCAAAAATTTGTTGAATTCTCCCATCGATACCGAAATTGGCCGATTCCAGTAAAAGGCCGTAAACCCCTTACTCTTTGGCCCCCCCCCCCCCCCCNCAAATAAGAAAATTATTTCACCAGAAGAAAATATGTTATTTTAGAGCGCCATGACAACGTCGGAAGCCACTCAGCGCTCCTAGCGGCGTGTAGGAGCAGTGTGGGCGGCTTATCACTCTTGTGGTTTGTTTTGGTTGAGGTAAATTGATAAGGCAGAAATATGGTTTTGCCAGTTTTGTGTTTCCTACTGTTCGAACAAGTTTTACACCCTGTTTGCTATGCGTGTGATGCATTTTTTCCCCTTCTTTCCATTCCGTAAACTCGAAATTTTGACTGAAGCAGGAGCGTTGGTAGTGAATCGGTAATTCTCTTTGCTGTGTCTTTTACATCGCCGCGTAGTAATTTAAATTTTATCCAGTTTGGACCTCCGCGATCGTGGTTTGTCTGTCTTCAAGAAAATAAGGAATGGAAATAAGATTTTTACAATTCTCTGGAACATCCTCATTCAATCAATCACTAACTGTGGAATCAGTAATACATACGCTCAGTATCGAACATGAGAGGCTGGCATTTGCTTGGTCACATCTCTTCCAGGGCCATCAACTCTTTGTGGATGGGTGCAGAAGGATGGCTTTGCCAATTTTCAAGGGAGAACATCATCGTTTGATCAATCAATTACTATCCCGGTTGATTGAAATAGGAGCTCGTCATGAAACTCCAAGAAATGAGCTATCCCATGCAACAGATTGTAGCTAACATGAAGGAATGCGGAAGTAGCCTTTCAATTCATGTAAGAATGAGTGTTTGCTCTCATACTTTATCCTCTGCCTCTTAATTATCTTTCAGTCAATTTTGGCTTTGACAACGGGAAAATTTGGGAGGGGGCATACTTCCTTTCATACTTTCATTTTTAAATGGTGAACCACTGAGCCTCTACTCCTAAATTTTCCTTAATTTTTCTTCTCTGTGCGTAGAAAATTCTGTGAAAATTTCAAGGAATAATGATGACTCATTCTCCTTCAGTATAATAAAAAGGAAATGGACATTTTGCAACACCGTTAACGAGACACCAGGTTCGGTAGTTTCACGTTTGATATGTTGGGGTATTAATGGCAGTTACTGAAGCCAAGCTTAACCATTCAAATTTAGCAAAATTCTCACAGCTACCTTGCTCAGTGGGGCGACTTTTGAAAGTTTCGAACAGTTTGATAAGACATCGAAATGTGCTATAATGCACAGTTAATACAGGGCTATGTCTTTTCGTGTCAGGGCAACTTACAAAATATATTAAAAGGTGGTGGCGGGTGGAGAAATGAATATTTCATTGCACCAAGCATGCAAGTGCAGGTGTAACCAGAATTTTGGCGGAGTCTGGTATTTTGGTGTGAAAGCGGGGTCTGCCTCACGCCTGTAGCCTCATTCTCATGATGTTTACTTTTTGCAGGCAAAGACCCCCTCGGAATGAGCAGGCAAGATGGCTGCGTGGCGCGACGGGAACTCAGAGCAGTTCGAGCACTCTCTAACCAATACTTACCTACTCTAACCCATCCTATCGTCTGCCGTCTCCCCACCTTATCCATCCACATAATCATGTTTCCAATAATGTAAAATGAATCAGTGAGTTCGGAAACACTCCAACACGGGTTTTTTTCGATTTTCACTTTTTTACGGTTTAGTAACACTTATGGATAAGTAGAAGCATCTGCACGCAAAAGGATATTTCGAAATTGCAATCGGAAGTGCTCGAAACGGTGACGGGAAAAGGGAAGAATCGAAGAATTTCATTGGAAATACCAATTTTTGGCCGATCAAGGGAAACGGGCGACTATCCGATGCGGTTTTATTTTTTCGGTTCAGTATACCTTGTGCCAACAAGTTATATAACTATTCAAGCGTTATTCAGGTCAAAAAATATAAATTTTTCAGGGCAGACTATGAAAAATCAGTATCTGAAACTTGGTGCGTTAAAGTCTCTAGAGTACTTCTTGCGTCCTTCGGCACCAAAAAAGTTTTTCTTAAACTAACTTCTTCGCCCGCTGCGAAGTTTTAGGTGTTTCCTGAAATTTTTTTTTTCCGAGTTGGTGTATTTTCGAACTCACTGATTCAAATGTCATCTTAGGTACCTAATGCTATATTTATGCTCCCATATTTCACCCCTTGATGCCTGACTGGTAAAATTCACCACTTTTTGGATCGTTATGTACTTTTGTAGGTATAAGTTATCAAAAGCAGAAATGTGCAAAGATATTTTTTTAGCAAATTTTTCAAGAAATATGCTAAGTGCCTCGTTACCTTTAACAGGATGTTTCCCAGAAGTTGTACCATTGTGCCACAAAAAAAATTTATAAATTCGTGCGAATGCTGAGTTAAATTTTTAGCTTGATGCTTCATCTTCACATGGAAATATTTTTGGTAGAATTACAAATTCCACAATGAAAGTCTAGCAACACAGCTAACTTAGCAAAAGCCCTCATATTTCTTGAAGTCAGGAGAGGGTAATATTTCTCCCCCCCCCCTCCTCCTAACTAGTTCCCCCAATGCTCCTGAAAACATCTCTGCTGAGCGCAAAAATCCTCAAACTCATCCCTCATCATCTGCATCCCCATGGCTCAGATATAAATGAAGCCCCTCCCGCCCCCCCCTTATTTTCCATCAAAATTCAAAATGTAAGTAGGTACGTTTAGAATTTGATTTCAAAGCCGCAGAACGCTGCGGGGCCCCCACACAAGCTTGTGATTTCTCCAGATATGCTAAAGATTTTCCCTCCTTAGGTAATCCTTAAATTATATCAGAAAAATGTCCTGCCAAAGAATTTTGAGAATTGCCCTGGTTAGTACTTGGTTTGAACTCTTTTAGAAATTTAATCCCGATCAAAAAGGTCAATTCCCTGAGCTGAGCAGTTTAATTTGTCTCCGAGAGTGAAATTTGTGCTTGGCGCCATTATGTGATGTGCAAAGAGTAGAGGTGAGGAGAGAGCAACAGAGTATAATCATAGAGTCCGAGCGAGCTTCATGCACGCTCCACCAGCTACTCCCGCTCTGTGATCGCCTGCTCATTCGTAGGGGGTCTTTGCCTGCAAAAACGCTCAATCCATCCTCATTAGCTGACAGGTTGATGCACAGTTCTGCTTTACGAATTAATCTGGTGGTTGCTAGTTTGCCGCTACCATCAGTATTTTCTCCATGGTGGGGTAATAGTTCACCCTGCTGAAGTCTCACCATTAGGTAGGTGTTTTGTTTTGGCGCCAACATAAAATGATTAGATATTTTGCACTCTAAATTTAGTGTAACTCTCCTAGTGTTGAGGAATATTTTTATAGAAACTCAGCTCAATTCTTTGTATTAATTTAATTAATCTTTAGTGAGACCGCTGCCTGCTGTAATACAATAACTGAATTAAGTTGCTAATTGGAGAAGAATTTGGATTTCATTAATCTACCGGTGAGAGGTATCCAGCCAAATTAATCATGAGTTCAGAGATGAATAACTCTCTGCTGACTGTCCGCTCTTTATTAAGACAACTTTCATTTACTTTTTCAGGCAGCAGATGTTGGTGGTTCAATTTTTGTGCATGCCTTCGGAGCCTATTTTGGAATCGCTGTAGCTCTAGCATTGGGTCCACCGATGAGTACGGAAGATGATGAGTCTACGTATGTAACTGACATATTTGCCATGATTGGTAAGTTGTCTTTGGAGGAAACTATTTTTTGATACTCTGAAGAAAGCAAAGAGTGCACCAATGCTGATTTACTTTTCCTGAAAATAATTAATTTTTTGACTCCAGGCTGTGCATTTAGTTTGCTGTTTTCCAGAAATATTTGTTTAAATATTGCAGTGACTACCATTGAAGTCTGTTTCTCTTTTGTAACTACCAATTCACTTGCCACTTTTTTATCGTGCCAAGAATTTAGGTATTTTTCTACTTTCCAGAGATGACCATCGTCGAAAAGAAATCAATTTTGATAAATTAATGCGATCTAATGTTTGACCTAAAAAAATCTGAGTGTACTTGGGCTGACTGTTAGAAATCTAACGCCTCTCTCCATTAACTTCTGCAGTTCTGCACCCAGGATGCCTTTAAAACATAGATACTATCATGACCAAAATGAGGGGAAAAAAACAGTATAAATAGTGCAGTAAATACATCAACTCAACAGAGTACTCGGACAAAAGAAGAAAAAAATGTCTGTTGGCAGCAAAAAAAGTCTATGATAGTGTACAATAAACTGTATTACTGAGTCAATACTTAATCTTCCTTACAGTGGATACATTTTTTTTCAAAATTCCATAAGGGAAGATGAACAACGGAATGGAATTTGAACCTGCTGATCGCACAGAAACACTGTGTTGGGAAACAAAGCAACACAACAAGACATAAGTCTTAAAATTTTAACAACTCATGTTTAAATATTACAACATGCAGAATGGTACAATCGTGTCTCTGTTTAAGATGAATAATACAAGAATGAATTCCTATGTAAAGTAGTGATAAAAGGGATGGATTAAGCAAACGATTTTTAAAAAACTCATTTCACTAAACAAATATGCATTAGAAGTAATGAATATGAAGCGGAGAGAGGAAGTTTAAATCATAGTAACACTTTGATGAAGCAAACATAGTTTTGTCCTCTCTTCTTTTTCCTTCTTTTTATTCCAGAAAAAAAAGAAAAAAAGATTGCAGTATAATGAATTTGATAATATTATTATCTTTTTCAACGTTTTCAAGAACAAGATACATCAGAGAATCTTCATCACGCTTATTATTTGAACAAAATTCTAGTCTGAAGTCTATGGAACCACCCTTGATGATAAAAATCCAATCTTCAAAATTCCAAATTTTTCGGCCTCGTATATCCTGCCGAATAGTGAGGACCCAGCACTATTCTTCCACAGTGTGACTTGCAGTGTGGGCCAAATTTTTATTTTTGTCTTCCTCTTCATAGTATTGTATCAATATTCTTTACAGTGTGGGTGATGTTTGAGACGTTACCATATCTCTCCTATGTTGACTGTCTTTTTAATAATGTTGAAATTTCTTTTTGTAAGTATTTGAAAGTCACTGCTACCTTGAATACTTCCAAAGTTATCGCTCCTTTTTCCTCTCCTATTTGGTCCTGCTTACTGATGTATTTGATATTAAAATATTCAGGGACCGTCTTCTTATGGATGTTCTGGCCAAGTTTCAATGCAGTTCTAAGTGACGGTGATGAGCAGTATCGGATTGTTATCAACACTTACTTAGCTCTCACAGCGAGTTGCATAGTTTGTTTCTGTGCATCTTCAATAGTGTCTCCAAGAAACAAATTTACAATGGTAACTATACCTTATTTATGTTCACATTAATGACAGCTATTAACTACCTCTGAGTGAGTTATCAAGAAATTCCCTAAAGTTTCATTCGTACGCCAGATCCTGAAGAGCTGTGATGAATTCTTGAACAGGTTCTCCCAGTTTCTGTGTCTGCCGGTGAAATTGATCATGAAAGGCTTCTGAAAGATTCTCAGGCTTTTAATGAGGTAGGAGGTACGAGTACTTTAATATGGTAATCAGGTCCATGTTGGACAAGTCTTGAAGGTCTTGAGATAAGCATTTACTCCTCAACAACTTGTAGGCTCTGAGACTCATATGAGCCATGAATAAGACCCTTTGCCAATTATGGGGTGGTCCTTGCCCCACAGGTTAGGGTTATCAGCGATGTTTTTAATGAAATAAAATTGTTCTGAAATATCCACCCAGTCAGTAAATTTGTCAGCTAAGGGGTCAAAATGTTGAAGCAACTGTAATGAAGGCTATACCTGAAGCACATCAGCTCGATTATTGCCGGGGTACATGACAATAAACCAGAGCTCAACAACAAACTAAACACATAGACTTGACAGGCTACTCTAGTGAATCTAACTTTACATCATTGCCGAGGGGTCAAAATGTTGAAGCAACTGTAATGAAGGCTATACCTGAAGCACATCAGCTCGATTATTGCCGGGGTACATGACAATAAACCAGAGCTCAACAACAAACTAAACACATAGACTTGACAGGCTACTCTAGTGAATCTAACTTTACATCATTGCCGCTGTTTGATCCTATGACCAGTGGAAAAAAAGAACTTTGACTAGCTTAAGCTGGAAATTAATTTTATCCCTTACGCCTTGTCTCCACGGGACGATTCAGCGTTTCACAGGATTTTTCCCAAGTTCGAATTGCAGGAATGAAACTTCTGGGCTTTTTTCCCTGCTAAACAAAACAACAAAATTTCTTCTCCTTTTTTTCTAAGTCGTTCCTGGGACTATACTATGACTCTGAGTTGGCACCTTGATTAGTATTGACTAACTCAATATTTTTCCTATTTTCACCAGTGAGATTTTCCTGTAACAAATCCCATGAAACGTCCTGTGGAGACAGAGCCTTAGAAAGGATTCAAGCTAAAGATTTTGATACAAAATGAACTTAGGCAGGCATCTCTGAATGGCTCCCTCAGCTTATCGGCGATTGGTGGAAGTGGTGGACATCACACATCGTAGGTAATTGAAGTAAAACTCACACTGATCTGAATATAAAGCCAAGCCAAGGAAAATGCTGTATGACTAATATAAAGGCCTTCGCCACTCTTTTTCTGCGGATAGCACATAAATGAATTCTCTGAAAAGCCAATCAATATTTTTATTCCAAATTTTTCAGGTTCATATTCAAAATGCAACACTGGCTGGTGGTGTGGCCATTGGAGCTGCATCAAATATGATGACACTTCCTTGGGGAGCCCTCGCTATTGGCGGTCTTGGTGGCTTCCTATCTGTGATCAGCTATCAGTATCTGCAGGTATTCTATTTTCTTCTTATCCATTTTTTTGTTTCTGTTGTAAGTTAAGCCACGTATGGTCGATTGAATGGACCACTAGACAAGGTACGAATTTCAGCATTCTGATACATGTTTCTTCACCAAAATTTCACGTAAAACATGATGCGCACAACGAAAATTTCTGAAATCAACTCCTTCCGAAGATATTTAATGATTCTTGGTGCGTGAATTCAAACCACCCGCTCATGAAAACTCAATGCTCTACGTGATTCACATCGCTCGCTAAACGTTATCATGAACGTCTCTGCGATAAAAAAATCTGGCAACCTCAATCTTGACGCTTAGGCTCAGCTAAAGCAAATTACTTATAGTTTGAAAAACACATGGTGGGAAATGGACATTGCTCGATTGAGAAGCTTGCTGAAACTGTTGTAGTGCGCGATTTGACTCACGTAGAGCTTTGAGTTTCTCGTGAGCGGGCAGTTCAAAATCCTTGTAATCAATGTGAAATAAAAATGTTAATATCTCTGTAAGGAGTTGGTTTCTGTAATTTTTGTTGCGTGAATCATGTTCTACGTGAAATTCTGGTTAAGAAACATGTATCAGAATGCTTAAATTCTTCGTACCTTGTCTAGTGGTCCATTGCTGTCAGTAGATAATTACGCGATAAGGGAATTATTGAAATATGTCATTTGATATATGAGAGAAGGACAGTGCAGTAAGTCAGTATATACTTACCGGGCTTGGGGTCTCATTATTAATCCCTCGATTTTAAAGCCTCTTCAAGCTATAAGAAATATGTCAGTTAAGGTAGCTCCAAAAATTAAGGAGCAAGTATGATTATAATATACTTAAGTATTTTTGTAGAGGAGGAAGTACTAGTGATAAGTTCAAAATTCTAGCCCATTTCATAATCAGAGGATGAAGATCATCAATCTGGTACTTGAAAGTAAATGATAAATCAGTGTATTCTGGAAGTTTCTAGTTGAAAATTTTTTAATCGAAAGTTCAAGGGACAGAAAAAAATTTCGACCTAGGAAATTTTTTTTTGTCTTGACTAAGGTTGCGCCCGGCAAGCTTTCATATTTTTTCATATGTTGTATCATGCTTTATTGGTTCAGCACTGTCGGATTAAAATTTCAAGGGTCTTACTCTGGCAAAGTCTGTAGGAACAGGATGTTTGCACTGTCTGTATTGCGTTAAAAGTTTTTGCTCTCATTGTTTTCCTTATGGTCTCTTGGGGCCAGTGTCTCCAGTGAAATCAAAATGGACAACATTTTTGGCCTGAAAGAATTTGTCCAAAACTCGACTTTTAAAAATTTGACGCATACTTAGGTTTTTAACGAAACCATTCAATTAAGACTACTATGTCTACATTTGAGTTAGTTTATCCATATCTAATGATCTATCTGTTTAACGTGTTGTTCTCTTTGTTTTTTTTCCAGCCAATGCTCCTGCAAAATTATGACTTACATGATACTTGCGGTGTCCACAACTTGCATGGACTTCCTGGGGTTTTTGGAGGTTGTGCAAGTGCTTTATTAGCTTCTTTGGCGTCAGTGGATGACTACAGCTCCAGGTAGGCCCTAACTTTTCACTGAGGCTGGGGGGATCTACAATCCAAAATTGCTCGGTTAAAAGGGGAGGAGTCTTAAAGAAGCATCCAAGCAAATTTCCATTATATTGCTTTTTTCTTTTCTACTGCATATTTTGATTTTCTTTCCAGTAGACATTTTCCTTGTCAAATGATAAACTTTTTTGCGGCTCAAAACGTAACTAAGAATCAGTTTATCATATCGCTTGTCCTACAAGCGGGATAAAACAAAGCAATTTTCATTATGTTTTGCTAAGGAAAAATGTAAATATCGACGTTGTAAGTCGGCAATCACATAACTTGTTTGCGATGTCTGAAAATCTCCACCTCTATGTTATTTTTTTAAAGGAGAACAAATTGGCATCATTCCTTGAATTTTTCCAGAATTTTCTTTGCACAGAGAAGAAAAATCACAGCAGTTTTAAAGAATTGCCGTTGAGTAGTTTTCCGTTTAAAAAGTAAAGTATGACAGGAAGTCTGCGACATCGCAAACCGAGTTATGTGATTGCCGACTTACACCATCGATATGTAGAGAAAACACCTCAAAAGCTGCAGTCTCTCTGACGTATGAATCAATAATAAATGTTTCTTTTGTTCTTAAAACCCAAAAGCACTAATGACTATGAAAATCTACATAAAATCTCTTTTGACTAATGATTTATCCTGAAATCAGATGGAGTATGGATACAAAATTTGTACGTCTGAATTTTCAGTTAAAATTCATTGGGATCAAGCGTTTATAATGTAACAAAACAAAAAATATTTGAGTCTAAATTTAAATTTGCATAATTTTGCAGTCTGTACCTAATTTTTCCTGCTCGAGCACCGTTTGAAGATACATTCGAGTTAAATGAAGCTATAGGCGATTTGCCGCAAATAACAGCAGGGAAGGACCGAACAGCATTGAATCAAGCTGGGATCCAGCTGCTTGCAACTGTCATCACTGTGGCAATCGCATCATTAGGAGGCACCATCACAGGTAGAGCTGCATGCATATATTTGCAATCATTAATTTACTTCTGCATTGCTCTCAGTGTTATTTGATACTTAGTTCCAGGGTGTCCTCTATCATTCAAAACTTGGAAATTCCATGTCATCGGGGAAGTCGAAAAAATTGGGTCCTAAATCAGCATATTCCGAGTGCAGCAAGCATTTTTCAACCACAAGCATGTCTAAACAAACACGTGTCAATTTACTTGGCAAAAAAATCAGGAAATTTCATGTAAAGTATCAGGAAAATCGAAAATGAAATTACAGTTGATACCCTGAGTTCTAGCTATGACTCCTCAAAAAATAAATTCCATTGAAGTCAAGAAGTAGGCAATCCATTGAGGACATATTTGACATCAGTAAAAAGTTCTACAGCTGTACAAAACAATAAAAGTAATTATTCCCGTCCAAGAAAGAAAAAAAACCCTCATAAATTATTGTTAGATTTGAAAATAGGAGAATTGACTTGAACTTGTTTAAGCTCATGAACCTAATGCATTGAAACCAAGCAAAATTATCAGTTCTTAAAAATGTAAGTGAGGGAATCATACTCTGTACGTGTTAACTGCCACAGCATTTTCAGTAGTTTGTCCTGCTGCGCTACGCTCGTCTGATGGGACTGACACTTGCGGAAGCCATTCTTAAATAATTTCTGCTGAGTAGAAAGAGTACCATATGATTGCCTATCTGAGCCTCACATCACACCTGCGTCCAAGAAATAGTCCCACTGCTGCCTTGAGAGTGCAACCAGTCGACTTGCTGCAAATTACAAGTCAAAGAGTGACGTGGCAGAAGCCTGTCCCTAGGAACTGGGTTGGAAATTAGCATGTCAACTTTTGATATAGAGGAGTTGCAGCTATGGCAATCATGTATAGTACATACTGATACCAGTGCCTTTACATGCGCTGATGACGCTGCTATGCTCATCAACCCAAATCATATCATCATATGCTTTCTGTCTGATAAATGACATTACTTAGGTGTTTCTGGATTAGAATCACTAATTTTGTTTTTTCTGCGCAAAGGGCTGAAGGGATTTGCTATTCAGATGCGATTTCATGGGTAATAGGTTAGAATTCTCTAGTATTTAAAATCTGAAGTTCATGCTATCACCGTGCTTTTTTAAACAGTAAATAACTATGGAGGAAGGGTTTAACGGAAAAACAATGAGGTCCTTTCTTATAGATCATGATAAAATATCCGTTTTTGTAGATCCTGATCTACAGTATCCCCCCTCCCAAAAATGACCCTTTCATTCCTCAAAAATAACACATTGTAGGTCATTTGCGCACCAGAATGTTTAGTTCATTTTGAGACTGAAGATGCCTGTTTTTTGCTAGTTAGGAGAACCTGTAGAAAATGCAAATTCTTCAGGAGACAGAAGGAAGTAAAATCTATTGATTTATAGAATATTTAAATTATGTAGAAATAAAAAAACTCTAATACCAAGTTAAAAGTTCGTTCTTGCTTTTTTTTCAGGTTTACTGATGAGAAGTATTTCAACGAAACTCCATGATGACGAAGAAATGTTCCAGGATGAAACTTTTTGGGGGCTGCCGCCTCCTGCCTTAGCATCTGCATCTCAGTCGTCGCAGAGTCTGGTCAGGTGCTCAAATTGAACTCATTGATGTAATGAGAAAGTTTGCTTTCAGTAATTTTGCATTGGATATATGTATTCATTAGGGTTGTTTAAGTGCTCTCAGAGAATTCAAGATGCATATTTTGTTGGGGTTTATGGGGAGTAGTTTTTAGCTCTAATTTTTCTATGGGTAGTGTATGAGAATATACATTAGCAATAAATTTCATGTAAAAAAAAGTCATAGATCTGACAACTGGTCTTGAACGCGCATCGTTCAAAAAAACTTCACAAAGAAATACACCCTCACCAAAGATCTGACAAATAATTTAAAGCCCTCGGTCCTCATTAGTTTTTTAGATTTTGAAAATTAATTTTTTATCAATGAGTCACATGTGTGTGTCATTCCTGATGTTGTGTTGCAGTGCTTATTTTAACAGATTTCATTTTTGCTCTTCCCTCAAATATCCATATTGCATCTCTTGTTACCCGTAATTTATTTAATTTTGGATTTTGAAGTAACACAATTTGTTTTGGCTTCCAGCAAATTCCGTCATCATACGTCATTTTCAAGAGCTTTGAATGAAGATAAAGAGGCCAAATTTTACGATAATTATCTTAATTTTTTTTAAAGAAATGGGAAGCAGTGTTAATGATCAGTTCCAACACACCTTATACCATAATTATATGACTTCCTTCAAAGGCATTGAATTCTAGACTTGAATCAGATTGATTTGTGCTTACAGTATGTCATCTTAATTTTACTGTAATTTTGTTTAGTATCCAAACTTTGCCTTTTATTTTGGACTTCGATAGCCTCTATAAACCCAAGATTGTAACCGTGCTGCATTCTTAAATAATCACAACCCCCATTTATCTGGATGAAGAGGGTCCTTTCTGTAAACTTGATTTAGTCTAGGTTTGATGGCATTCTGACGGTGGAAATGCATCCAATCTTAGCATGACTTTTTCAGTCATGATTGCAAAAGTGGTAATTCTTTCAACTTTGTGGAAAATTAATAATCAGCCTCAAAATTTTCATTCACAGAAGAGTAATTGGATAGAGTTAAGCAAAACAGTCAGATCTACGTTGCCGTGTTTTAATCTCATGTCCTATTTTTATTTTTGGAAGAGACCCAATCAACATCCACACTCAAAAATTGTTTCATTCATCCCCTTCAGTGGCTTTTATTTTGTATCTTAAACGAATTGTAATATTTTTATGGGTCTTGAATGGATTCTCCTTAATTTTATAACAGTTTATCATCAAATGTATTAAACAATGCTCTTAAGATGCGGCAAGTAATTTTGGAGTGTATTATACTGACGAGGGTGCATGAACTGTCCTCCTTCGATTCTGTTAATATTTTTTGTAGAGGTGAATCAGGGAAAGTTAGGGTGACTATATTCTTTTTTACCATCACTGGTCAACCATTTTCAAGATATCAAGTTTTTTCCTGAGCATATCGTGCCTCCCTAATGGTACCACTGAGCAGCGACTACCAGGGCGGGCTGCTTATTGCCATTGTCTAAGCTCCACGATACTCAGCCCTGCCAGGCAGTCGGTACTCAATGATAAAGTTAGAGAGAATCATTATGTGCAGCATGAATGAAAGTAGATGGTTATTGGCAGCGAAAATCAAATATGATAACCTTTCCCTAACTTTACTTCTATACCAAGTATGAACAGAACGAGACGAGGGTTATTTGTCCATCTCCCCTATGAGTATCTTTTAACATCTATTTGGCTATATTTTATAGTTTTCTGTGAAGAAGACTTTTTCTACACTAACTGCATTCTAAAAATTGTATATTTTCTAGAATTATAAAAACATGTTCATCACTGGCTACTTAATAAATGTCTAACTATGGTAACCAGAACATCTTTTTTTGAACAGTTTTTTATTCCATAATATGCCTGAAATTTAGTAACATCCCGAGAAATACTTCAGTTGTAGTAGGACTGTTATTCATATAGTATTTATCTACTTATTTGAACTCATAAGATCAAATATGATTTTTGGTCGCAATCCTCGACTTTAAATAGAAATAAAAGAGAGCTTAAAATAGGTTGACTGATAAACTCGCTCCTGATGCGTAAAAGTAAAGAGGAGGCTCATTTTTTCTGCAACGTAAGAGCATATGAGACTGAAGCAATTTCATTGCCTTTATTAATGCTTTGGAACTTAAATTAATATTCTTAAAAAAAGAAATTAACATTTTTTTTTTTTTAAATCTATGGATGAAATCCTGCTGGTCACTTTATTACCCATTCATAAATTATTAATAAATAATATCTTTCCCTCCAAACGAAAAAAAATGGCTTCTCCAAGAAAAGAATTGAACTCAACTGAGAAATTCCATTCTGCATATTACCGTATTAGTAAAAATTCAAGAATGCTAAGTTAAGTTATTAGCTTGAACGCAGGGACCAATTCAGCTCCTTTTGTTCTGCTCTCGTTTTAGACCCATATGGCTATTGAAAAAGTATAGTGGTCAAAAATTGATTCTTCATACCACAAGATACCAAACCATATTGGCTGCAGAAGAGTGATCTTAAATAGAAAAAGAAAAAAAAATTCCACTCAGTCATGGAAAAATATATACTCTATTTTTGTATGGAATACTCTCTTTGATCATGTAATGAAATTATGGATTTTTCCCTTGAATTGAAAGAGAAATTGTTTTTCAGACAAAAATTTACATATAGTCAGTCTGTTGTAACTCAATTCAGTAATTTTACAAAACACAGGTCATGCAAGCTTGGTCTGATTCCCAATTCTTTAATTGAACAAAACACAGGTCAGAATATGAGCTCAGTATGTATCAAGAAATTTTAATGTACTTAAGTCTATTAACTGCTCTACTGTAGCAAGATCGCCTTGTGCACGAGAGCTGACCTACCAGGAATATATCAATCATCTTATATTTTCCTGCCTCTTTTGACATTACATGGCATTCAAAATTTCTTACCATAAAGAATCAAGAAGGAAATCTTTTTTAGAAGAAAAATGTCCCTTCTCATATGTGCTCCTTCTCAGTCAGGAGCCATTGAGGTTCCAAGGAAAAAATTTTGATCAGATGCAACCGCTGCAATTATCGAACAATTAGTTTGAATATCAATGAAAATGAGAGCATTCTTTTCTTTTTCATGCAAACAGTGTTTCTCCCTCAGGAAAGAGAAAGGCTTAATAGATGTCGAAAAGTTTATCTTTAAATAACAAGCTTTTTTTCCAGTTCAACTTTTTCAAAATTTAATCAAATCAGAATTCATGATTACATTGAGAAAAAGGCTTTGCACGAAATTTTTCAGTTCTCAGAAAACGCAACCCTGGGATAATGTGCAACTTAAACCAGATGATGCATCAATAATTACGGTTTCTGGACATTCAATTTCATTAAATGGGTAATTTCCAGCAATTGACGGAGAAAAAATTCTTGATTTTATATTGATACTTTATACATTAAACATATTTTTTAAATTTATTTTTCTACATTTCTAACACCATGTACCTATATTGAACTCTGATTACGACCCTGTGCATTTTTTTTGGACCCTGTAATGAAGCTGCATAGTAATACGTGCCTAAGTTTCTTTTCACAAACCTTGTGTTGTTTGCAACTTTTTTTGTCTCACCAATTAAAAAAAGTGAAAGAATGAATTTAAAGGTAGATATCCATTGCAACAGAANGGGGGGGGGGGGGGGGTCGCCCAGCAGAAACTGCAGAGTATGTACCCTAACTTTTACAGAACTGAATTTGAATGTGAGGTCGTGTCATGTTTGATGCGGATTGGGCAAGGTGACTCTTGTCTATCTAAAGTGAAGAATCACGACTCAGAGGTGAAACGATCGGTCCTTCAATTCCCCTTGTGCGTAAAAGGTTGTTTTATGAAGTGCGCAAAAAGAAAAATCGTTCATCAGTGAGGCTAATTTCCGCAATAGCCACGGATCCGATTTCAGCGCTAGTGTAGCTAAACACTGTTGCCCATCGGGAGCTTTTTCTTCACTTGACGTATGGAGGCTCCTTCGTGACGTCATCATCGGGCTTTTCCGCTAGCAGACCAGCGATTGTGATTGGACCCGATCTAACACGAGTGGGTCAATGTCTGAAGCATCGAAAATGGTGATGTGAGTAATTTGGGTGGTTGTGAGTAAAATCTGTCTTGTGAATTCTAATTTTCGATCGTTCGCAATGATTTGAGTTCGAGTGGGAATAGTAAAGTGTGAGTAATGATAGTGAGCCTGCTATCTTTCGTTTGATGGTCCTAGTGGGTTCGGCAAGAGCTTCTTTTCCACGTAAAATCCAGCGCAGCCTACCAGTTCGGGTCGTTTTTCCGTCAAGTTTTCTGAGCAATGTGATTTAATATTTGGATTAAATGATTACGATTCGAGCACTTCAACTTCTATAGAAATGAGCGGACGTCCAAGAACCACATCGTTTGCTGAAGGCAACAGGATACCTCCCAGTCCTGCCTTTGGGGACATAATCAGCGGTAAGTCACCTAGCCTCAACAGTCACTTCGATGTTCCCATTAACTTTACACTTTCTACGTCCTATTTACGCGATTTCAATCGTTTTCCTTTTGATCCTCAATCTATGTTCCTTTCTATGTTTTCCAGGATTCCACCTTCATATTCTCTTATTTCCTACTACGACGCATATTTCGGGGGGTTATGAGGCAAAGGTTAGCTTATGCAGGTATATTGAGGTTCTCCAGTCAACCATTGATATGCCTCTGATCAGATCCATTAAGAGTTGGATTTCTGAATGATCCATGCATTTCTTGAAGTGGTTTTCCCCGTAATTTATCTAGTTATGATGAATTTCACTGTGAACCATCTGGTTATTCCCTGATATTTGGTTTCCAACTCTAATGATAATTTGATCCGAGTTCCCTAACCTCCATTATGGGAAGATGTGACACGCTTTAATTTCAACTCTGAAGATCAGTCAGTAGCTCCACTAAATTTTCCCACTCATGCAGTGAAGGATGCACTATTTCTGTCCCTCCAACCTCTCATTTCCCTTTCTTGATGTTCTCCGACTAGTCTTCAAAATTCTCGATCGAGGACTTACGACACTCCGGCCTACCTCCTCTCTCTTGCTCATGGGGCTCGCTGTAATTAACAATTGATATGTATGTCAAATGTAATTATGTTTGTTTTCTTGATTGGAATTTTCTACGAAATCTGAATTTTCATGTTATTCGTGATTTTATCAGAAACGATTTCTGATACCAAGCTTATAATCTGATTGCCAAGTACAACCGTAGGTCTTTATCAGCACTTTTTCTGGAACTTGCGTAGCCAAATACGCTTTTTAGGCTAGGTATCTGGACACCTCACCTTCTGAATTAGGATACCTTTAAGAATAGGCGTTACTACTTATTGCTGCTAGTGTAGGTCTGGTACTTGGACACTCCATGTTCTAAACGTACTCTTTTATCGATTTTGCTTCGTCCAGAACAGAATTTTGCCTATCGGAATGGGGATCATACATGCTCCATACTCTCAAACAGTTGAGTAAATGAGCTGTTTAGGCTCAATTCATAAACGATTCACCTTCCAAGTAAACTGATAGTGCCTGAATTATGACTGTTCCAAGTATAGTGTTCTACTCCTTCTTACTTCGAAATGGTTCCCTCGTTTTTCAAAGTTCATTTGCCTCTAATTCTGGAAGTAGTGGCTTCACCTTCAAGAGAAGCAGTATTATTAATTCATCCATTATAGTCAACTAGTGACCTAAGTTCAGGACCATCAGTAGTTTCGGTATCCAATCAGTTGGAGTATTATCTCAATGGTGTAGTTTTGTCTCGTGTTTTTTGATCACTTCTTGGTAGAATGGGTATTGGTATTTTTCTGCTTTTGTTAAATAAATTGTGGTGTCACTTTTGAACCTCACAAGAAACAAAGTCTCCATTGGCCCCTACCTGGTTTTTCTCAGGATTATATTTTAGGTATAATCCAGCAGGCGGGCTAATGAAATTTGGTTTTTGGAGTGTACTTCAATACTCGGGTTGATTTTGTCGCGCCGAGTCACATTCTGTGGAAAAGTCCCCTCTCACTTCAGTACTCTAGCTGTGAGATTTCTGTCTCGTTCCATTCCTGTCTGTCACCTATTCGACTGACATAGAGATGAAAAATGTGAAATAGCATAGTGTGATTGAGTGGCTTTGTCATATCAGTAGCTATCAGTGGCTTTGTTGTATCTCAGTATGTCCACCAAGCAAGCACAAAATTCAAAATTCCAATAGTCAGCTTGCAGTTGCAATTCTTCAAATCTTACCTGTGGTCAACTTTATATCCCTTACGTAAATCCTGTAAAACTCATCAAGAGTTTTTTTTGTTTTTTTTTGCATCTGTTTTTTTACATCTCTGGATTGTCCAATAAAATGACAATGATTAGGGAATCATCACTCGAACGCACAGGTATTTTTTGGGAACATCTCTGGATTGTCCAATAAAATGACAATGATTAGGGAATCATCACTCAAACGCACAGGTAATTTTTGGGAAAAGGATTTACCCATAGCCAAAAAGACAGTTTAGGAACAAATGTATTTGACAGTTCTCTGCCCTGTTTCTCAATAATTCATAATTCCGCAGTGAAATTCCCAAACCGCATTTCTTGTTTGTGGTGTTTTAAAATCTCCACTCCCATTTTCTCCTTTGATGGAGGAAGAAATCAACATCATTTCTTGAAGTTCTCACCGAATTTTTTCCGCCCTGAGAAGAAAAATCCCAAAAGTTCGTACTTAAGAATTAATGTTAAGTACTTAGTTTTTAATTTAATAAATAAATTATGACAGGAAGTCTACAATGTTGCACACAGAGATACTTACGTAGTCTGGGAGTTTCAATGTAGAACTACATTTTAAT